ATATATATATTATATAATATATATATATATATATATATATATATATATATATATATAAAAATACTCATATGTGGGGTATAGGGTTTTCTGTTTTTTGTTGTTGTTTTAAAACAAATTTACATTCATTATTTATCCAATCTTGCCTTCTCTTCCTTCTCCTTCTTATTTTTGAAGAGCTGGAGTCTTGTTATGGTGTCCAGGGCAGGCCTGAACTCCTGGGATCAAGCAATCTTCCTGCCTCAGCCTCCCCAAGTAACTGGGACTACAGGAACATGATACTGTGTCTAGCTTTGCCTGAAAATTTTTTTCCAAGTTGAATATTTATTTAAAAAGAACTCTCAAAAATATCTATTTATAGTACAGTAAGAGGGACATGTACAAACAACAGAAAGGGAAGGTCAGTCCTGCTGTGGAACATCCACATGTCAGTGTCAGAGTGAGGGTCACAGTCACTGTGGGCTGACTGCTGTGGTGGCAACAAGATGATATTCAGCTAATACTGGGGCCGCCTCATATTCTGAATGTTTTTTTGTTTGTTTGGTTTTTTGCTTTTGTCTTTTTGAGATAGGGTCTTGCTCTGCAGTTCAGGCTGGACTTGAACTCACTTTGTAGCCCAGGCTGGTCTCGAACTCACAACGATCCTCCTGCCTCAGCCTCCTGAGTGCTGGGGTTACAGGTTTGTGTCACCACACCCAGCTCCCATACCCTGAATGTTTTTATAAGCATTTGCTCACGCTACTAAAAATTCCTGGTAAATACCATTTCTGATTATTTCATAAGACTGCATTACAAATATATCAAAATTCATTTTCATATTGTTGTATCTTACAGTTTCTGGTTTTTCACTACTTTAAATAATACTGTAAATTACCTCTGTTTACATGAATTTTTGGTCTATATTTCTCAACACCAGGGTTGGTCTGAGGGACCCGAAACACAGGACATAAGTGACGGCACTTCCAGGTAGGTTGTGAAAAGATCGTGGCTTCCGTCCCGGATCCCCAGGCCCTTCTCTCTGCGGCAGGGGCAGGGATCATTCACTGCGAAGAAGCCGTGCTGTGAGGGAGAGGTGCACGCCTCCTGCCAGCAGGCATGAGTGGGCTGTTTCTCATGTTCTGTTGTGGGGATTTTCATTCTGTGTACAAATGTTGTCTAGAATCCAATCTGTCCCTTGTGACCTCTTTCATTACATTTTAATTTTAAAACAAATTTAATATATTTTAATATATATGTAATATAGGTCACATATACATCAATATCAATATATATGTAATATAGGTTACATATACATCAATATAATGTATAGGTAATATAGATTACATATACATTAATATGTAGTATATGTATAGTATAGTAATATATGTTTCTGTAGTTTTTTAAAGAAACAGACAATTCTAAAAAGCTTATGAGGAAAAACAACACTTTCTTGCCTTCTCCTTCAGCATCTCAGTACCTGTATCAGTCAGAATTTGATCAGAGCGAAAGAATGAAGAGAGTAAGAGACCCGCGCTGGGCGGCGGCGCTGAGGATCCGCGCAGCCTGCTGTTCTGGGGTTGCCGCTGGGTCGACGCTCAGCTGGGCAGGCCGTGTGAAGGGAAGAGGCGCTTGACCTTGAGGAGAGGAAGGACTCACCTGAACCCGCATCAGTCTCTCCCCTCAAAACCATCAGCTGCCGCAGCTGCCCTCGTCTCAGAGCCACTGTGCCCCTAGGGGCCTTAACTGAAGTTGAAGGTCACTCCCGAGTTCTCGTCCAGAACCGTGTGAATCCAAGAAAATCAATCACTGAACTGAGCTCCTTGGCATGTCAGTCCGCTCCCTTGAAAGCATTTGATAACTACTATTTGTAAAGCGTTCTACATGTACGTGGACTAATATCCAGGGAGTCCTTTCCGCCAGCTGGCAAGGACGCAAGCACACGTGCATGCTTAAAGCAGAAAATCTGGAAAATACTGCGAAGTGTAAAGCACGAGCAGGTAGCCGCAGACACCTCTGTTCGTGTCCAAATTCTGGAGCTACTGCTTCCATCTGATACAAAAGGTGTTTTTCCCTTCTTTCCAGCACTGAGGCCTGAATCCGGGCTTCTTCACACTGAGCTACAACCCCAGGCACTTTGAAGTTTTGAGACAGGGTCTCTGTTTCCTGAGCGAGCTAGCACGTGCAGCCCTCCTGCCTTAGAGCCCTGGAGTGCAGGCGTGTGCCACACCTGGCCCCCGAAAGCTGCTTCTTGCGGCATCATGTAGGTTTCTTCGTTTTGTGCTGGAGATGGAACCCAGGAATTGCGTGTCAGACAAGCGCCCTACCACTCATCTGTACCCCCAGATGCATCACACAGATCTGAATTTGGCTTTTTCTCTTATGTACTGTATTTCTCCTACCACTAACGACTGTCATTTTGGATGGGTGTGTAATGTTCCATTACATAAACATATGAGGGGTTTTTTTTTTTTGAGTATTACCCTCTCGTTGGTCCCCGGGTTTCTTCTCGTTCTCACTTGGCACTGACCAACTCCTGGCTTCTATTTCTTGGATGTTCCGTGTACTTCCTACAAGTTATGGCTCCCGTATCTGCCATGAAGAAGCACCACTCTAGCTGGGCATGGTGGCACATACCTGTAATCCCGGCACTGGGGAGGCTGAGGCAGGATTGTTGCGAATTCGAGAACAGCCTGGGCTACAAAGTGAGTTGAAAGCCAGCCTGAACTGCATAGGGAGACCCTGTCTCAAAAAGACAAAAAAAAAGAACCATCATTCTTAGAACATGCCCAGGGCAGCCACTTCTGATGCAAGAGAGAAACTTTATTCTAAAAATGTGTACTGTTATCTATGGATACATAAGAAACATATACCCACACTAAATAACTTCCCTCTGCTGTTACATGATCACACCTACTTACGGCTGGGATGGAACTGTAATTCAAACTTCTTGATGGAAAACTCACATAAATTCAGAAAAAGTCTTCCATAGCCAAGAACCAGATTGGTGTGGAATAACTTTTTCAAATATTGTTAATATCTGTATAGGAGAATTTTTAAAATCTTGTCTTTGAATATATTATGTATCATAAACATGTACTAGTAATTTTTTAAAAATCCTTTTAAAATACTCTACAAATCCTGCACATAACAATGTAAACTTCTACTTGATTTGACTATTCTTAATGAAATCCGAAGTTTAGGCTGGCCAGCCTTAACTCTGAATCCAGTGAGTACTTGCGCTGGCCGCATCTGATCTGTGCTCCACACTAAGCACCTCCGTGTTAAGTGAAGTTGGCCGCAGTGGGAACTGCAGGACATGAAACCCGTGTGCTCCGCCCTTCGGGGAGTGCAGGGTAGGAACCGGGATGACAGAAGTACAAACTTAAATGCAACCGCAGAATGAGACAGACTGACCTCGAGGAGCCTGAAGAATCTGGCAGGTTTTCATGCGCAGGCAGAAGTTAAGGGCCTTGGGCAGCAGGCGGCTTAGTGTGAGAGGCACTGCCTGGCACACAGGAGGCCCTGGTCCCAGCGCCAGCCGGGGGCGGGTTTGTGAAGGGCTTTAACAAAGCCTTTGGTAGAAAGGGCAGAGTGCAGAGGGGAAGAGGTGAAGGGTGAGCGACAGGTCGGCCTTGGCCCCAGCCGCGCAGGCTCCCGGAATGGCTGTTCCCAGCCACCCGAGCCCAGGGACAACGGCTCTTCTGCCAGGACACGGCACACCTGCCCGGCGTAGGCTGCAGTGCACCCACAAGGGAGCCGCAGCCGCTGCTATGGGCACGGACTCAGCTGTTCTCACTCAATCAACGCCCCCCAGCCTCGGCCCTACGCGCACGCCACTGAGTGAAAGAAATAAATCCAAAGTAAATGTATCGTGAAAATACATTTTAATACAAAAGTTTTGAACATCAGTATTGTATTTAGGAAATACACTCCATCTTACTGTCACTTCTGTGAACAAAGAGATGACCATGTGCCTGGAGCTAGCTACAGTCCCTTCCTTGTAACACAGAGACTGTGACTATGCAGAAAAAGGGTAAGCGTTCAAGGTGCTATTGTGAAGATCATGATTCAATCAAATTCCTACAAGTTTTCTGGGGACTGAAAAATGCAGGTTAAATCAGGGCACAAGAGACAAGTGTGCAGACACCCCATTTACACCGCTGCTCCCTCACTTGACTGGCCTGCCCCTGAAGCGGGTAACAAGCCTTCCCGGGCCAAAGCACGGCAGACCAGTCCACAGCAGCTGCTTTAACTCCATAGCAGACTTTTTATCTATCAAAGCTCATGACCTATGAATCACTTCTACGTCTATCAGCTGATCTAAACTCTTGTGCAGATGCCTGAGGCCTGGGCGCATGTATGCTCTGGAGACTATGCTGATCTGTGGTTTGGTCCAAAGCCCGTCTGACCATGGGGTCATGACAACAGTGAGGAGCTTCCCTATTGCAAGCCACTGTATGGTTCTGTATGCTACTGAAAACTCGAGCGAAAGCGAAAAAAGCCAGGGCTACGTACCAGTCACTTCCCTTATGGTTAGAGCAACCACAACTGTCAGCATTTTCTGGACGAGGAGATAAGGTTTATGCGGCTTTATGACAGATACTACTATAGGCTATACCTACATTTGATTGAGCTCTTGGTCAAAAATCCAAGTTAATACTGTGTATTTGTACAAAAATATAACCTATTTTATGAATTCCTAGAAATAAGTTATAAAGAAAAAATAGACTACCTGTTCCTAATGGTCTCCCTGGAAACTGCAAATTGCAGTTTGCCTGGAAAGATAAACACACAGAATGTTATGTTTACCTTCAACTACATTTCATTCTTTTCTGTCCCTTATACTTTTCTAAGTGACAAGTAATAAATAAAGCTAGTGATTACTCGGTAGTAAGGAAAAAATCTTTTCAGTCATTTTTCCATTGAAGAATTTCATGAAAGAAGTATGTGGCATATTTCATTGTAGTATGAATACAAGAAAGTGGGAGAACCAGGTAATTTGAGTGTATGTGCGTGTGTGTGCGCACGCATGCATGCCAGAGAGCAAATCCAGGGCCTCACAGATGGTGGGCAAATGCTCTACCAGTAAGATACACTCCCGGTTCCCCCTTGTAATTTTGTAACTACAGATGGTTGGCAACAGTTTCCTTAATAGTTATTGCAGGTGTAGGTCCAACGTGAGTCCATATGTAACCCTTCTCTGGTCTGGTGGGGACTGTCGGAAATGGCGATGACCTTGACTTGAAATACTCAGAAGGTGCATGACAAACAAATTCCAAGTATTCCATCTTCCTTGGAAGATCCTCCTCTGGCCCTAGAAGGCAGCCAATGGCAAGGTTAAGTATATTTTTGGATGCATATCTCATTCTCAGAAAATGTGAACATTCTTAGAGACCAGGAGGAAGCACGCTAGGGTGACTTAATATTAGCCCTTGAAACATGCACTGTTTGTAGTTACTGTCATCTTCTTCTACTTCGACTGCTTAAGGTATGCGGCATTCTTCCAATCTGAATGACTCTCCTGAGATTCTAAGCACAACACCGAACCTTTATATAGCATTTATGCACTGTTCTAAGCACTTTGCATGTATCAGTATTTTAAATCCTCACAACCCTCTCAGCTGGCCACTATTATTATACCCATTTTACATATAGAAAAAGTGAGGCAAGGGCATTAAAGGACTTCTCAGAGTCACACAGCTATCAGCGGCGGGCAGGGCTGGGAGCCCAGACAATCTGGTTCCAGGGTTCTGTTCTGACCGCCACACTGTGCTGTCTCCTCCAGAATACAGAAGCGCTTCAGAGCTCGGGGATTAACAAGAGGAGGTGGGAGGGGAGCCGGGGTGATTCTGGCATAGCGCTGCCTCTGCGGGGACCCTGCTCCACAGGTAAGGCAAAGGAAAGCCCGTTCTTTGAGTTTAAAAGCAGAAGACTCAAGTGTTTGGCTTGGTATCGGTCTTGAACGCAGGTGAGAAGAACACTGGGACGTTACTCATCCTTGAAGTTCTGGTTAAAGAAAAGATTGTATTTCCTTTCCTCAGGACATTGAAGTAATATATGCTCATTATAGAAAGAGTGAAAACTTCCAGGTAAAATATTAAATTGTATTCACTGGTAACTTCTTTTGAGTCTTTTGAGACTTCTTTTGAAGACTTCTTTTGAGTCTTTTTGCAACATCTTTTGACAGCCTTAAAATGACCAGAAGCGCAGCTGTTGTCACTTCAACCATCAACAATAAAAGGTCTAGGATAATGTGTGGAGGGATGCCCTCTGAGAATTTGTAAGGTTTTACAGGATAATTCTTTGAGAAATTACTGTTGAGTACATTTTTGCAAGTAACCTAAATAATCTAGTTCCTGAGCAATGGATTATTTTTGTACAGTTTAACTTCGGGTCACTCAGAATAATCTTATCTCTATCGTTTAGCAGCTACACAGTTCTAACCTAAAATAGCTAATGGCGCCCAAACCCCAGCTATATAACATGTGTCTCTCGTATTTCCAACAAAGTTGTCTACTCTTTTTTGTACCTTGTGTTTATTACGGGCTGCACTGCATCCCCCAGCCTCTAAAGCTATGTTAATGGCCCAGGTCCCAAGTGAGATGGTGCTAGAAATGGGACCTTTAAAGTGAAGCCAGGGCTGGGGATTTAGCTCAGCGGCACAGCGCCTGCCTGGCAAGCGCAAGGTCATGAGTTTGATTCCCGGTACCGCAAAAACAAACAAACAATAAAGTGAAGCCATAAGGGTGGTCCCTTTATCTGACAGGATTAGTGTCGCTCCAAGAAGGGACACCAGAGAACTCTCTTCACAAGCACACCCCAGAGAAAAGGCCACGATGAAGACACGGCAGGAGGGAAGCCACCTGCATACCAGGAAGCGGGGCTTCACTACCTTCCAATCTTGACAGCTCCTTAAACTCAGACTTCCACCCTCCAGAGCTGCGAGACAGTAAATTTCTGTTGTTCAAGCCGCTCAGTCTGTGGCATTTTGTCACGGCAGCTCACGCAGACTAATACATTCTTCCACATGTGTGGGAGACTGTAGCTGACGTCCACTGTATGTTAGTAGCTGTCTTAAGCATTAAGTTTCTGTTATCCTGCCTACTTCTCCAAAGAGACACACCTTTCCCTTTAAGTCTAGACTGCCCACCGTTGCCTAGCTACTCCCGCCCTTGTCGGTTACTTCGTTACTCCGGCCTTAAGAAATTCCGTATTTCCCCGCGCCCTATATATTTGCAACACTCCCCGCCAATAAAAGAGGCTTGATCAGAATCTTGTCTTGCCTCCATTCTTTGTGTCTCTTGTCCCTTTATAATCCCCACTCCCCTTCTAGAGTCCTCGTTGACTGTACCCGCGGGTCGGGTCACACATGATATCAAAGAGTTGAATGCCATGAGGCACACCACTTGCTACACTCACCTATGATATAGGATGCAGGATCAAACTGGTCTTTGGGGCTAGAGAGAGTGGGTATGAGCCACGTCAGCGCTGCACTCTTCTCACAGTATTGGTCCTGGATAAAACCCCTGATCTGAGCATAGTAGGGCTTTCCATCTTGTTCATCGATCACAGAAACAACATCACCAATTTGGTAATACACTCCCTGGGGGAAATAGAAAATAATCCAGTATTTAAAATAAAAATAGAACATCATCGTAGTTCTGAATGAAACTTCTTTAATAAGAAAGCAAGTTTTCAAAGTAGTCAATAAAAGGTCTAATATGTCAATGTTTACATCTGATACCAATTCTTAATTTGTTCCACTTTGGAGTGAAAACTACACACACACACACACACACACACACAATCTGCACTTGTTCATAAAAATTCTTTGTCTTTATACCATGACAGCACTATCTCTACCTTTTTTTCTGAAGATTTCATTGTCTTAGAGTAGTTTGGGTGCACCGGAAGACTGAGTGGAAGGTATAGAAGTTTCTCCCATACTACTACGTGCAAGTCTATGGCCACTATAATGTCTCCCACAGTGGTCTGCTTGTTAAAAGTGATGAACCTCTACTAAGACATCATCCACCCGAAGACCACAGCCAAGGTCAGCATACAATCTTGGTGTATATTCCATGGGCGTGGGCCAATGTCTAGTGACGTGTATCCACCATTATGGTATCACACAGCGTAGTTTTACTGGCCTAAAATATCCTCTGAGTTTCATGCTACTTTTTTGCCCAGGCTCATTAGGCCATAGAAAGCCTAGGTGACTTGCTGAAAACCATATAGGCAGAAACTGCAGCCTGTGCTGCCTGCCACCTCTGCTCAATGGTGTTTCTCTGTACTACCCTGAAAATCCGTGCTTACCTGCGGAGAATACACTCTTACAACCCCGCTCCCCAACCCTTCATTCAAAAGACATGATACCACAAATTCAAACCAAAAGAAACAATACAAACTCTCTGATTATAATCAATATCAAGATATGTTCACCCTCACTTTACTATGCTTTTCCCAGACTCACTGCCACAGGTCTCTTTCACTCCATTCAGTCTTGTATCTCCCCACAATACAATTACTAGTGTTTCTGACGTTCAAAGCTTTGTGTCTTGGTCAATTTCTGTTCTACTTTAATAGCTATTTAACTAATCTGTACCCCATACCTCTGCTGCCACCCCATGCCCTCTTCTCTGGGTTCTGACGATCTCTGATGGATGATCCAACTTTCTATGACATTCTGCACTTCCTTAGGTAGGTGCGCTGTTCTGCCTAGGCCAGAATGTCCTTGACCGCTGCAAAAGTATGTGATTCATACTTTGCTTCCCAGGAAATGGGGCTTTGGCAAGCAGGTAAAGGTACTGGGCCGTGTACCTCACCATAAAAATGATTCTGGAGAAGTATTTCTAGCAATTAAACTGCAACATGAGCCCCTGACAGACCAGGAGTAGAAACTCCTGGCGGCCCCTCACCCGTGCGTCCGAGGGAGACTGTTGCACCTAATCATAACGAATAGGGACAGCTGACGCACGCCGCCACAGCTTGCTACTTCATACCCACTGCCAGCTGGTCCTTCCTCCCAGACCTCAAGTTTTCAGTGTACGTGTCAAGTAAATATTGAATCCATGATTAGCTTTGTCCACAAGTATGAACATTATTCCCTAATTATAAATGACTATTTGCTCATCACAAATACTCAAACATATGCTGAATGACTATCATAGCAAATTTGTAACAGAATAAAAAGTTAAAACTGCGATGCAAAGACAATGTCTGAGTGAAAGATTGTGAATGCAAGCAATGCCTGGCACACAGTAGGTGTTTATTAACATGTGCTGTATTCAATGATGCCCCTTACCTGTTGGGGATATGTTCCAAGACCCCCTAGTGGATGCCCGAAACCCGGATACTACCAAACTTCACACATTGTTTTTTCCTGTACTTATGATAAAGTTTAATTTATAAATTAGGCACAGAAATGAATTCACAATAATAATGAAACAGAACAATCATAATATACTATAATAAGTTAACTAAAATTCACTCATTACTTATTTCTGGTATTTCCAATTTAATATTTTCAAACTGCAGTAACTGAACCTCAGAAATAGAAACCGCGGGGAAGGAAAGATGACTCTACACATACTAACACTAATCGGGACGGAGACCCTTGACAGAAGCAGGCCCTCATCCGCTGCCAGGAAGTGTTTCAAGTTTCCGGCCGAGGGCAAGAGCTGGATTAGGAGTAATCAGGCTGAGTTCATGGAGGTGCTCTGCCAGGCAGCTCTCTGGGGAGGCCACGTAATCCTGTGCTTCCACACTCTCACCCATCACCCCAATAGCCTCCACTCGAATCTCCCTTGTGTGCTTGATCTGGGTTCCCCCTCAACAGCTGGCAGTCACCTCTTGAACCCCCTGGTGCTGGCACTGGTTTCTGCAAGTTTACTTGAGAATTCTGTTGCATTTGGGGCTTATTACTTAATAAGCACGTGTAGTTGACAGTGCATCCCAGTATACTGCAGGGTCCACATGCATTTCCATTGGACGCCCACAGAAATCACTAGAACACTAAGTCTTCAGCTTTGGAATGTAACTGACAAACTATGTTCATCTGGGAAAGTTAAAACCCAAATTTAAAGATGTGATGAGGGGCTGGGGATATAGCGCAGTGGCACAGTGCGTGGCAAGGGCAAGGTCATGAGTTCGATTCCCGGCACAAAAAAATAAATAAATAAACATGTAATGACGCTAAATACTACCACTTACTAAGAGCTAACAATACCACATGGTTAACATGCATGATCTCGGGAGATTAACTACTACTAACAACTCTTATTTTACAGATGAACATTAGAGAGGGTGGTCGTAGCTCAGCCACATAGCCACTGGCCAAGCTGTGGAGCCAGGATCTAAAGTTCCTGCTTCAGGCTGCTTTGCTCAATGAATTCTCAGCTGTGTAATCTTGAAAAAGTTCATTTGTATCCTCAGTGTCCTCATCCATAAAAAATATGGAAAACAGTATCCACTCCAGAGTAGACTGAATGAAATAAAACAAGTAAAATATTCAGCTCAGTACCTGCTACACAGCAAGCACACAGTATTTCTTATTAAGAATGTGCAAAAAAAATAATGTATGAAATGCTAGAAATACAAGAGAGACGTCTATCTGTGTAGACTGTTTCCAACTGGTAAGCACTGTTAGGTAATAAATACATTCCATGGTCATAAAGCAACATGCCACTTACACTTCCCAGGAGTTGGCCCATCTGGGTCCAATATTAAGCTCTAATTCACATGACTGCCTCCTACCTAATACTTCAGATGCCAAAACACTCAACGACTGCTGCTTGTGTCAGGCCTGCCAAGCCTTGGAGGTCTTCTGTATGTGGCAATTCACTTCCTAAGGCTTCCAGTTTGCAAGTAACAGTAAGTCACTACTCTCATGGAGGTAACAAGTATCTGTGCTCCTTGATGCAAGGGAATCTGACCTTCTCACTTTATCAGAACATCTTAGTAGATGGTGTGAATCCGCACTACTGCTAATTCCTCACCTCTGCATAAAAGCATGAGTCTTTGGGCCTACTGCACTACACAGGTGGTCTGCGTTTGCTATGACTCCACACCCTGCCACTGTCCTCCTCTCCCATCAATGCTGTGACGGCTTCTGTCTAGATTTCCCCCCACACCTCATGCAGTCATAGGTGGGGCTTTTTCTGAGGTGGCTGGATCTAGAGTGTGATTCCATCACGGTGCAATGCTAGGATTAAGGGTGAGTGATTACTAAATCAGTTCCCTGAAAATGGCGCCATGAACTGTTTCACTGCCCACCACGAACTGTTTCTCCTCTGCGATGCCTTGGAGCCAGCCAATTTTGGACTGAAACCTCTACACACTGTGAGCTAAGTAAACTTTTCCTCCCTTAACTTGTGGGTGCTGGCTATTTTGTCTCAGCAATAAGAAAAGTAACTAAGACAAATGCCCCGGTGTTAGCAGGGATGGCTCACTCTTTCATGCTTACACATGTATTAGCATTTTGAAGAATACTTTGCATAGCTACATTTTTAAAAATACACTTAAGACCATCACACTTTTCTTTCCATTTCTCTTCCTACCTCAGTGCTGGATGAGATGTTTTACAATAGCTACCTAGAGGGAAAAATAGCTTAAAAGAGAACAAAAACCATAATCACACTTTATGCAAATAATAGCAGAAACATTTAGACTAAGCCAACATTTTAGCAGTGTATTATATACCACAGCCCAGTTCTCCACAGATACTACCTTGTAGAAGATGGATTCTGCAGTGATGATGGTGGAAACAGACTCAGGAGCTTTGATGGGCTATCAAAAACAGAAGTACAAATATTAGCACATTCCTGGTACACAAGCAGATATACTGTATACAGGCACTTTTCCAGCCATATATGAAAGCTGGATTAACTTGAGAAATTCTAAATTTTGTTGTGCGGTGACAAGAACCACAATAAAAAGATGAATAATTTTCTGAGGGTTGGGGCAAAGCATACACTGAATATTTCCATTACTTATGCTACAATTAGTTTAAAAATTGCTTAGAAACAGGGGACAAGCATCTGCTTAAGCTGCTGAGATCTACCACAGAGATCTCTCGGGGCTTCATTAGACATCAGCATTCCAATTATAAAAATTACTGCCTCTAAGGGACTAAGCATGTCAGAATGGAAATAATACAAAACGCACAGGCCAATACTGTACAAAGTGAAAAAGTATCTCTCTGAAGACACAGTCCATCTCAACACCATAACCTGCCAGGCTACTCATCAATTTTGTAGCAAGCCTGAACTAAGGCTTTGGAAACTTTCCTGCGAGTTCTTAGTAATCTGCCTCAATCCAACCATGATTGAAATGCCTCTTGAACTGCTTTATAAACAATGCTACATCACTGAAAGTAAGCCTCTGCCATCTCTCTTGGCACAGTCCTCGAAGGGGCTGCAGAGACTGATAATGCCTCATTTTATGAAAACTGTATTATAAAAATCTTAAATTAGGAGCAGTTACTCTCATGAAGACAAGAATTCATAATCTACATGAGAATCTACCCTGGGACTCTCTGTGCTTTATAAATGGAAATACCCAACTTTAGAAATGCCTGTATTAGTGGATGAAATGAGTATCACACTGAAGGTTCTTTTTTAAAAAAAATCTATAATGCGTTTTCCACTGTCCCTTTGTATTTACAAAAAATAAAACTTATTCCAACAAAAATGCACTTTTGATGCCCTCCAGCACTGGCCTCCCAACAGTCTCCTCCATCTTGTACAGCAGAGGAGGAAACAAAGGTTTAGGAACAATTCTGATTCATCTCTGCGTGTCAAAAGTTAACATTTTCTGGGGCTGTAACAAATGCATGCAAATGAATTCCAATATTAGTTACTTAGATTTTTTTTTTTTTTGGTATCGGGAATCAAACTCAGGACCTTGCGCTTGCCAGACAGGGGTTGGTGCCGCTGAGCTATATCCTCAGCCCTTTTTTTTTTTTTTTTTTTTTTTTTTTTTTTTAAATTGGTCTTTTTGAGGCAAGAGTCTCACTATGGAGTTCAGACTGGCCTTTTGTAGCCCAAGCTGCTCTGGAACTCACAAGGATCCTCTTGCCTCAGCCTCCCGAGTGCTGGGATTACAGGCGTGCGCCACCTCGCCCGGCTTACTTAGATCTTTTTTTTTTCTTCCGGTAATTTACGACCTTGCCCTTGCCAGGCAGGCGCTTTGCCGCTGAGCTAAATCCCCAGCCCCTATATCTTTAAAAGATACAGAAAAAGATACACTTTTGCTAGTGTATCCAGCCACATCAAGGACCTTAATTATCTCTCTTCCTTTACACAGACTGATCTGATACAATGTATTCAAGGCTGACGTTTCTTTTAGCCTGTTATTCTCAGAGGTCACAAAAGAAGAGAGCGTATTATTAACATCATAGTGCAGGAGGTGGGCTCCAGGAGCAGTGTCCACATTCAGCGGTGATAAATGGAGGCCGTGGAGGACACAAAAACACACAGGTCATTACAGACAACACTGGCCACGCCCATCTTACATTTTTCAGTTTAAAAATATGTCTTCTTCCTTTTCCTTTGGTGGAAACTTTCTTTTCAGCAGCTGGAGCCGATTTGTATTTCGTATTTCTGAGCCGTGCAGACCGCCTGTGAATTTCCTGCTTACTCTGTTGTATAAACAATTAGAGAACAAAAAGAAAAACTGTAGTGAGGTTGCTTTCCTCATATACCCATCTTACAAGGCTCACACGGTGTACACCCTGGAAGGATATTTAAAAAGTCTTTTTTTTTTTTTCTTTTGCGTTACCGGGATCAAACTCACGACCTTGCACTTGCCAGGCAGGCGCTTATGCCACTGAGCTATAGCCCCAGCTCCTAATTGTTTCTTCGTGGTTTTTTTTTTGATATTTAAAAATTAAAGCCCAAAACAGGCCGGGTGTGGTGGCGCATGCCTGTAATCCCAGCACTTGGGAGGCTGAGGCAGGAGGATGACTGTTGAGTTCGAGACCAGTCTGGGCCACAAAATAAGCTCAAGGCTAACCCGAACTGCACAACGACACCCTGTCTCAAAAAGATAAAAAAAAACAAAAAACAAACAAAAAAAATTAAAGCCCAAGCCAGGGAAGAACCTAGGCCAGCGTCTTCAGAGCCTCAAACGGGTGTGAGCTGCTTGCAAACGGAAGACGGCTACACCAAAGGAGGAAGTATGGATTTATTCCGTAAAAAAGGTAACTTCAGGCTACAGCACTCCTACAATGGAATATTTATGCTATTTAAAATGACAAAATTATTTAACACATAATAAAATAGCAGGCAAGGTGTACTTCTATTACAACATATGCGGCATGATCCCGTTTACGACGGTGGTAAACGAGTGCACATGCGGTTACCCAGCTGCCACTGAAGATACCGTTACAGAGGGGCGTTCTACAGGGCTTCAGCGGGTTTCCGTACCCTCGACTTTCCCTCCATGGGAAAGGAGCGCGGGGACGCGGGGGCCGCCCGCGGGGGAAGGGGGGACAGGCGCCC